TCTTGTTCTAATTTAATGTTGTGTAATGGGCATGACTGAACACAGTGCTAAGCACCAACTATACGGACAGAAAGGTATGAGTGGTTTCTGCTAAAAATCATTCAGTAAGTTTGACCTTCGTTGTACTGGAAATACTGTACATTCTTTCTTCGCATTCTGATATTCAGACTGAGTCTACATGGTATCTTCTGAAGGATGAATAATCTCCTCCCGTATGTTTTTGAAAGTCAATTGTAGATCGTGATTGTTCGCTACAAACTTTGAAGAATGTTAACCTCGCATAAAGACTAGTACATTGAACTGGTCTTCTGTTATCGATTTCAGCTTTAACTGCCCAAGTTGGTGGCTGACAACCGTCAGTTACGTTAAAGTATTAATGTTCTCGTTTAGCATTATATGAACAATGATTTATGGTCACCTGTCTGATGACGGACAGTCTGTTTTCTTACCGGGTTTCTGGAGGAGAATTAGCTTAAAGTAGTTGTATAATTCACGTGCATTCCCAACTTCCAAAGTAGGAGTCCAACACTTCAACCATCAACTCTGCTCTCAAAATCAGTTTTCAATAGATCTTCATATCGAAGTGAGGACGGGAGTAAGGCAAGGCTATCTACTATCGCCAATGATCTTCCTGATTGCAGTAGACTGGATAATGCGACAGATAACTGCGGGAAATGAGGAAACAGGCATAAAATGGACTCACACAAAGGACTTGGAGGATCTGGATTTCGCCGATGATATATGTCTGATTTCCCACAAACTGAAAGATATGCAAGTGAAAAGCAACAAGCTGGCAGAAGAAGCATCCAGAGAAGATAGGACTTCAAGTGAACATAGATAAAACAGAGGTGATGAAGATTCCTGGCCAACATCAACAACAACAACAGACGACAATCAGCATGAATGGGAGGAACCTGAAAGAAACAACCTCCTTTACCCACCTGGGAAGCATCGTTTCAACTACAGGCGGACGGAACTGATGAGGATATCAAAGCAGAGAGGATCGGAAAAGCAAGACAGGCTTTCATTACCCTTAAGTCTGTGTGGAGGTCAGCATCACTCAACATTGAAAAAAACATCCAGATTTTCAACTCCAATGTGAAGTCAGTCGATGCTACTTACTATACGGATCAGAGACTTGGTCAGCACGTCATAAAGAGCATCTCAAACAAACTTCAGACTTTCATTAACAGTTGTCTTCACTCAATACCACTCAAGATCAGATGGCCAGAAAAGATCAGTTACAGGGATCTCTGGCAGTGAGCGAACCAACCAGGAACCGATTGTGAAACAAACAGGCAGGAAGAAATGCAGATGGATTGGCCATACTCTGAGAATAGAAACCATCAAGTGGCATCACTAGACAAGCCGTTGCTCGAGTGGAACCCGAAAGGGAAGCGGCATGTTGGTCGTAAGTGCGAGGGTGACTTGGAGGAGGTGATGTGAGGAGGAGATGAAAGCATGTGGGCAAACATGGAGCGGAGTGAAAAAGTTGGCAGAAAACAGAAGGCAATGGAGACGCGCAGCAGAAGCCCTATGTTCCTCTAGGAATTAAATGATATAATAATAAAATATTATGTAATGTTCGTAGCGGGCTCACATATATATTCTGATGTTTCTTCTGAAGTTATCAGTGGATGGAGATGAATCGTTAGGAGGAGGAAATTCGTGAACCAGCTAGCAACTCAACCATCTTAAGCTTTTGTTCCATTACCTTTCGCAAACGTGAAGAGTCTACTTCCAAGTTGTAGCAATCACAAAATTTGTTATCAGTTTACAAAAGTTTAGAAGAATCATTTAACTACTTATGAGTAGTTTGAAATTTATCTCAAAATTAATGCATAACACTGGTGACACCTGTGGCCAGAACTCATTTAAGACAGGCGTTCTTCTGGTTAGATGTCTCCATATTCCTAAATATCGCCTAGTTTCCAAGCAGAAGAAGAAAATGAAAAAGAGGGAAGATTCGGCGTTCAACTAACACCCTAAAAAATACACGGTCACTACTGAAGCTTCACAACTTGAAGCCCAATATTCCACCCAGAATACAGAGGTTGGAGAAAAAATGAATTACTGTGTTAGACTCAGCTCAGAGACTTGTATCACATCAAACTGTACATATTTCGGCCAGTTATATATCGGATTAAGAAAGTTCAGATAACTAGAGTGAATTGCATTTCTAACCCTATCCAGAAAACAATGATTTATCAATGTATGACATGCTTAAGAAATAATAATACTCCATTACAGCGCCTATTTCCTACTCCTACGTTTATATGAAGCCAATCTGAGTAATTTCCAGAAACGAATTCACACTACTGTTTTCTTTTTGAGTAGTTTGTAGACCTGCGAACAAGTAAGAACAGTAAATGACATCATTTAGGGAAAATTTGAAAAGTACTGGACAGCTATTTCGTCCTAATTTTGGACTCTTCAGAGGTATGCAGCCATGAACATATTAGGGGTTTGACTCAAGACCTTCAGATTACTTTCTTATCACCTACAGACAACATATTCACCACGGATACAGAAGGATCGTTTGGCATCTGTCAACTTACGCCATCTCTGGTTTAGTAGACGTGATATCCGGCTGGCCATCGATCAAACGGCGTGTGTGCTGCACAGCGCAGCAGATCGCTCTATCCTCCTTCATGATTGTGAGTGAGACATAGCCAGTGAAAATGGAAGACATGAAAATGATGGCTGGCTATCTTTGATCATAGGTGTCTGCGTTCTATCTCTCATATCAAGTGGTATAATAAGCTGAGTAATAGTGAGGTTAGGCTTCAGTCGAATGTTAGGTAAGGAGGGAAAACAATCAACGAGGTTGTGAAGTTACACCGCTTGAGATGAATGCGACATGTGTTACGTATGCATGCCTAGCCATCGTCTTCCTCGACAACGGCATTATTACCCGACTGAAATAGGATTGATCAGGTTGGAAAAGAGCTGTTGGTGGTGGTCTAACCAAAACATGACTTTATCAGTCAATGAAATCCACAACAGTCAGTTTAAGCCACTTAGGAAGGTGTAGCATGCAAGATTGACTGGTTGGGATCCTTGGGACGTTAAAAACCAATGGAGGCTGAAGACAGTTAGTGATATGGCTCAAAATCTTTGTTCTCAATGACTGGCGCAGCTGCATTCACTCTTTGTGATTTATTATATCCAATAAAACTCTGTTGTCTTTCCGTATTAATGTTCTTTTTGTCTTAATCAAACTTCTGTTTATTATCTGACTTTTGAATTTCTCTTTACCCTCTTCTCTCTCGTTATGTGCTAAAAGAAGGGAGTATGGCAACTCGGCGTTCTATCTCCCGTGTGAAGTGGTATAATAAGGTGAGCAATATTGAGGTTAGGCGTCGAGTGCTAGGAAAGGAGGGGAAATCAATCGACGAAGTTGTGAAGTTACAAAGACTGAGATGGTTAGGACATGCGTTACGCATCCATGTTCAGTCATCGATCGCCTTCCTCGACAACGGGGAATGTTATCTGACATAGTCTCAGGTTGGAAAACGGCTAGCGGCGGTCAAACCCAAACATGGCCTCATCAGTCAATGAAATCCACGACAATTAGTTTAGACCAGCCACGTAGGAAGGTGTAGACTTCCTGACTGGTTGGGATCTTCGGAATAGTAGAAACCAATAGCTGGAGACAACTGGTGCTATGAATCAAAATCGTTTTGAATGGCTGGAGCAGAGGCATCCACTCCTTGTGACTTACAATACCCAATGAAACCATATTGTTCTTCGTTATTACTATTCCTTGTGTCTCATACTCCTATCTACTGTCTCTATTATGAATTTCTTCTGCTCTCTTCTCTTCCTTTGTGTGATACAAGGATGGAGTGTAGTGACTCGAAGTGCTGCACATTTGTGCAAAGTTCTATGTCGAAAATACTAAGTCGATCAGTCAAACCAGTCGATTTCCGGCTAGTGACTTCAGTGAACTGATAACACCTTAAGTGTCAATTAGCAATTTATACAGTATAAGGAGTGAAATATTCACCACAGGGTCTTTTGGAAGCCAAATTATTCAGATCACCACTGATATAATAAATGATAAGACTATATACTACTGATAAATCTAGATGAGTAGTTATACACCCCTCAAATTAACCAGTAGTACTTTCTAGCTAGATTGAAGCGATTCACAGTACCAAACAGTCATTTCGCTCGTTTTGAGGCCGAGTTCATCAGCCCACTGGAGCTCTAAAAGCTGAATCAGCTCAAAATATCCAATTTCTGACAAGTTGCTCAGAGGGACGAAAGAAATAAACTACACAGGTTATACGTCTGTCTGTTTTCAACATAGAACCTGGCACCGATATGCGGCAGTTCTAGTCACCACACTCTATGTAGCGATAGCTGCTAACTGGATGTGGTGGTTTGCGGCTTGCACATCGCAATGACCCAACAAGACACACTGGCTGGAAATATTGCTCCTTCTGCAGGTCCTACCATCCCAGGAATGTTGTTAGGATAGCCATTAGACTAAAAGCAGTTACCTACATAGTGTAAGAATTTTTTGCTTTATACTATTGCTGGAGGATATGTGGGCGAAGTCGTACGGTTAGGGAATAGAGATGTAACACCAGTAGGAAGTTTCCTTCAGATAACCAGCATACCAGCTAAGCTATCGCTTCACTCCGGAGAGGGGGGTTAAAAAACGTCGACCCCAACAACTGTACATCCCAACTTACCCTGCGGTGGTCCGTAACCGACGGTAAGTTTACTAATATATAACCAATCCAAGAAACCAGCTCATACATGCGGTGTGTGACCAACCAGCATCAAGCAGTTGTCCCCTGGGTTCTGCGGTCACACAACACTAACCGTCTTTCTTTTTCAGTTGTCCGAAGAGTTGATCACCTTCCACGGTGTGGAAACAGCCGGGAAGTAACAACCCCTGCCCACACAATTCCAAGATCACACGAAGCTTCCCCGGGCAAGATTCTCCTTTAAGCACACGCTGGTTATATGAACACATATCAAGACAATTCACGCATATTTTATATTTATAATCGCTTTAAAATACTTTTTCATGTAAAAAATTGATTTTGTACAAAAAAACCAAGTGACGCTTTTAAAAAAAAACAATCATTTCTTTTGTTTATCACGCCAAATTTTTAATTCATTTTCTTTATAATACCATGTAGAAGATGCCGACAATTCTGGAGATGTAGCTAAAAGTCGATTAATTATAGCTTGAGATGTTTTCAACGCCAGTTGATTCTTGAATTCTGACGAGTTAATCTCTACGCTGGATAAATTTTCTACATCTGGTATAAATTCAATCTGAAATGTGTGGTGTCAAAAAAAAACGGAAATGGAAATGAAACATAAATATATATAACTAATGATATCACACACATAGTCAGGGGTCCGATCCCCGGCCGACTGTCACTCCTCAAACTCACCAAGCCAATAGTTAGGCCGATAAAGAGAGAAGATTCAGTGAGTCACTTTAAAGAAACTCATTTCGCTTCTGAGATGCGAACCCACGACACCCAGTGCCGTCTGCAGTCAGAGACGTTTCTAATGATCTATCTCACAAGGGACATGTGTTCCTTCAAGGTGACTCCAGATACGCCTTACTCACTGATGAGTGCCAACTAGCACGAAACCTAGGTCAACCAAAGCTTCCTATTGCCTCCAACCATATGATATTAACAATTCAAAGTACACTGTGATGGCGAGCAACCACCTAAATTGATCGTGGTCAAATTACAAACTTGACTGACCGACAGAATTCAGTCTGCACCAAACAAAGAACTAGCTAGACACATTACCCTAGTTACCAAGTAGTATCGAATCAAAAGGAATATATCATTACCAATAAAACCACAAAAAATAAACGGTAATTGAATTATGTAAAAGAATTCGCAAAGTTATGTGACTGCAGTGATAGGGTGATTATGAATGAGCAGCAATAAATTATGCTTAAAATGTGGTCATCAGTGAATATTACTTACTGAGAGACTTTATCAAATTTTCTCCATAATGGAAACACACTCTACCACCACAGTGCTCAAGTTCGATTCTTTTTTCAATTTGAAAAACCAATGTTATAAACGTTTATCTTCTAGGCAAAAAAAAAACATTTAATATATATTTGAACGATGCTCTATACTACTGACAGACTAAAGTGAGTAGTTTCGATACCGCTTGCATCAACTAGTAGTCCTTGCTAACTAAGCCAATCAAATCTAAGCCTCCCAAAACATCAACAGACAACAATTAGCCGGAATAAATGGGGGGAACGTGAAAGAAATAACCTCCTTTACCTACCCTACCTTGGAAGCATCGTTTCAACTACGAGCGGATGGAACTGACGAGGATATCACAGCGAGGATCAGGAAAGCAAGACAAGCCTTCATTACTCTCAGGTCTGTCTGGAGGTCAACAGCCCTCCTCAGCATCAAAAATAACATCCAGATTTTCAACTCCAATGTGAAGTCAGTACTACTTTACGGATCAGAGACTTGGTGCGTCACAAAGAGCACCACAAACAAACTACAAACCTTCATCAACAGCTAGCTGTCTTCGCCCAATACTGATCAAGATCAGATGCCCGGACAGAAGAGGTCAGCAATAGGGATCTCTGGGAGCGAACCAACCAGGAACCAATCGTGCAACAAATAAGCAGGAACAAATGGAGATGGATTGGCTGGCCTTACTCTGAGGAAACCATCAAGTGAGTGACATCACTAGACAAGCCATTGCTCGAATGGAACCCAAAAAGGAAGCGGCATATTGGTCGTAAGTGCGAGGGTGACTTGGAGGAGGTCATGTGAAGAAAAGGTGAAAGCATTTTGGGGGCAGACTTGGAGCTAGGTGAAAGCGTTAGCAGAGAACTGAACGCAGTGGAGACGTTTGGCTGAAGCTCTATGTTCCTCTAGGAATTAAGGGAAATGATAAATAATAAACACCAAATGTTCGTATAGCTCACTGATGAGATCAACTTCAAACAAGTAAGTTGACAAAAATTACAGTTCATAGGTTATTCGATTATTAATGTACGTGTAAAAATTGGGCACTGTGATAGTAAATAATTCCATATTAGTTTGTTTATTAGATGTACCACACAGTCAGTGAAACAGTATTATTACATATTAGATGACGAGGTTTCGAACACAATCTATTATTGTTCATAATCATTTCACCAATTATAATCACACGACTTCAAAACTTGAGTTTCATAGGTTTCTTTGTCCTCTCCTATTCATCATCGTAGGTGTAGTCGAATTTTTCAGATATCCGACTGGACAGGTATTGAATCATTCCTATTACACGTATTTTCATTCAGTTGATTCGATAAACAAAGCTTCCTTTGTTGTTATCAATCTCTCCCTCCACCCAGCTGTTACATTAGATTTTAAAACTGTCATCTTATCCCATCTATCCTACTCTATGATTGTGTTTAATTGCATGTAGTGAGTGCTATCTACGGCTGAACTTTTCTCTAGATTTCTTATCTTATTCAGGTCAACTAATGTAGATTTTCTGAAGCCTTTAAAACAAAACAATTTAGTTTATCTAATACCCTGTCTGCAATGATTGTCAGGCCAAATACATAAGTCAAACTAGTAGAACAGGGGCAGTCAGACTAGCAGAACATAAAAACCTAGCAGCAAAATCTAGATCAGTTGACCCAAATAAGATAAGAAATATAGAGAATAATTCAGCACAGTTACGCACAACCATACAATAGAATGGGATAGGATGACAGTTTTAAAATCTAATGTAGTAGCTGGGTGGAGGGAGAGATTGATAACAACAAAGGAAGCTTTGTTTATCGAATCAACTGAATGAACATACGTGTAACAGGAATGATTCAGCACCTGTCCAGTTAGACAACTGGAAAGTTCTACAACCCCAAAGACAAGAAGAAAGAAAACTATAAAACTCACGTCTCGAAGTCGTGTGATTATAATTGGTGAAATGATTATGAACAATAATAGATTGTGTTCGAAACCTCGTCATTCAATATGTAATAATACTGTTTCACACTGACTGTGTGATACATCTAATAAACAAACTAATAGGGAGTCAGTGGATTCAATCTCTGGAGGTACACACTAGTGAAAAGAACTTCAACAGAATAACTGTTCAGTGAAATACAATTTTTGTTTTAGTAACTTCTTTCATAGATCAAACTTACCTCATTGAATATATTATTTCGTGAGCGTTCAATAAACTGTAAACGTTCTTTAAAAAATTTTACACTTCCTTCATTATTTACGGATACTTTAGCAACAAGAGATGTTAAATCCACTGGTAGATGTCTTCCAGAATATTCAAGGATACCAGCTAATGCTTCAGCTGCTAAACGTTGACCACGAAATTTTGATTCAGCAATCATTACAGATAATTCACCTAAAATATTATAAGCAAAAGGCATGAAAAGTTATCAAAAACTATTGATTAGTTTAAGAAAAGGTAAATGGAGTAAGTTTTGGAGTAGTATAATTATGAATGTCATTCAATGAGAAGTACGGTAAGTATTTACCATCTTCAAATGACATTAATTTTGTTGAATATGCTGATGACCTGACTGTAACTTTGCCTGTCAAATGTGAAATTGACTGCTCCAAACTAAATGGCTTTTTATCAGAAATCAGCCAATGGTCCAAGAAAAAAACGGTTTTACCTTAAACTCTTCCAAATGCCAAACAGTCAATTTCACTTTTAGGCACAAATCTGACCTAAACAAACTGGTTAGAACTCACGAGGTGTGCAACATTGATGGCACTGAAATAGAAACCAAGTCAGAAATCAAACACCTAGGTGTCATTCTATCTGCTGATCATTCCTGGTCGTCTCATATCTGGACGATTTCTAAGAAAATATTCCCTCTTACCTTCTACATCAAGAAGTTAAAACATTCTGGTATAACCCAACCCTTACTCCTACAATTTGTTAACTCCCGTATTCTGCCTATTATTCTCTATTGTCCCCCTTAGTTTTTCCAGGGCTACTGAAGAAAGACTATACCTTATTACGCAGGATGTTAAAGGTTGTCAGCAGGGTAAACAATGTGGCACTTAACCAGCTTATTAATATTCTGGTTGACAGGCACTTGGACTCATGTGAAAAATGGGCTCAATCTATTCTATCTAACTCACATCACCCTCTTTATTCACAACTCTCCCCTTGTATCGCATCAGGCAAAACCAGAAGCCCACATAGAAAACTATGTGCTCGTACTAGCAAGTACAAAAACTCAACCGTAGCCTACTTAGCTCGTGTTTTGTGCGATAAAGAAAGCATTAGGCGTGATACCTATAAATTATTAAATAGTCAGTAGAACAACTGGATCTCGTCTTTTCAACTCATATCATTTATAGGTACAACGTTTTTCTTCCTTTCTTTGCCTTTTCTCTCTCTCTTTTTTGTGTTGTTATGTGCTGCTTTGTTTCTCTCTTCCTTATAAACTCTATTGAAAACATTCTTCTTCGTTCTTTCACACTTTGTATATCTCGACCTTTTTGTTACCGCTTAAGCCAGTATATATGGCAGCATCTACTTTTCTAGCATCTTCAAACATTCTGTTCAATTTTGACTTTGCAATCGACGAAGTCGTGAAGCTACAAAGACTGAGATGGTTAGGACATGTGTTACGTATGCCAAGCCATCGCCTCCCTCGACGAGCAATGTTAGCGGATATAGGGTCAGGCTGGAAAAACGCTAGTGGCGGTCAAACAAAAACTTGGCATCAGTCAATGAAATCCACAACAGTTGGTCTAAGCCACGTAGGAAGGTGTAGACTTCCAGGCTGCGGTCCTCAGGACGGTAAAAATCTATGGTTGGAAACAATTGGTGACATGGCTCAAAACCGTTCTCAGTGGCGCAGATGCATCCACTCCCTGTGACTTATGATCTTCAATGAAACTGTTTTGTATTTCTTTATTACTCCTTTGTCTCACACCTCTGCTCACTGTTTCTATTATGCTTTTCTTGTACTTTCTTCTCTTGCTTCGCGTGCTACACGGAATGTGGAGACTTGAACTTCCGCACATTTGTGCAAAGTTCTATGTCGAAAACAGACAGACAGACAGTTGTCAAAACTAACTAAGATTACCCATAATCTATTTAGATTTTTATTTTATTGTTAATGTACTAACTGGATGCGATACTGTAGTAAAATGCTGAGAATTCCATTCTGTATCACAAGCACTGTTTTGGAATAAAGCAAATTATTATTCTTAAACACCACTAACTATCAATCAGATTGATAGACAAGACGGAGGTTATGAAAATAACCAACCAACAACCAAAACAGCAGCAACATCCAGCGTCAATCATCATCAACGGGAGGGATTTGAAAGGGGTTACTTCATTCACTTATCTAGGGAGCATTGTCTCAACTACAGGCAATCGGAACGGACGAGGATGTCATGTCGAGAATCGGGAAGTCGAGAAACACATTATTCATCAACCTGAAACCAATCTGGAAATCTTCGTCACTCAGCCACCATCAACAACAAAATTCGGTCGGATTTTCAATACAAACGTCAAGTCAGTCAGTTCTTGTATACGGATCAGAAACTTGGAGGGTTACAAAGAATACTTCCAAAAGCCTGTTGCACGCCTTTATCAACCAACACCTGTCTTCGCTGGCTCTATACTGAAGATCAGATGGCCAGGCCGGAAAGAATCACCAACAAGGAACTATGGGAACAAACAAACAAAACAAGAACCAATCGCCAACCAACAAATATGCAGGAGAAAGTGGAGATGGATTGGACACTCACTAAGGAGGCCGGTTGGTGACATCATGCGTCAGGCCCTTAAGTGGAACCCGAAAGGGAAGCGGCGAGTGGGACGTTAGTACGAGGGTGACATGGAGGAGATTATGTGAAGAGGAGTTGGAACAATATGGACTAAGATGGATGCAGGTGAAAAGTACAGCAGAAGACAGAAGCAAGTGGAGACGTGCAATTGAAGCCCTATGTTCCACTAGGAACCCAAGGAAACAATAATCATAATAATAATAATATAACTATCAGTCAGGGAACGATCCTCAACGGACCAATCAAATGCAAAAGGGATTTTTGATTAAGGAAAACGCATATTTATGGGGAAAAAGGCATAAAAGCTGCATAAAACTCTTACATAGGGTATCTTTCTCTGACATGTGAGAGAAACATCTCCCAGTTTAGCATAGGAGTGTGTGTCAATAGAAAAGTTACACCATATTCTGTACATATATATTCATCCAAATGACTATAAATGCGATGCTTTTGAGTTCCATTTATAACCCTAATCCTATCTTTTAATCTTCCTCAAAATCCTTCTATAGAATTCATGTGTGCCTCTATAAGTGGAACCACAAAATCACTAGAATAGTTCAATCTGTGATAAATATACACAAGAGATGACAGCAAGTTATAACCTTTCCATTCATCAGTATGTACTATGGATCCCTGTTTCACAAGTCGAGTGAAAATAGGCACTAAGGTAGTAGACTTTCTGTCTTGTATTCTCTCCACGAATTCTTTATGCAGGGAGGTGTCACATATACCGATCACTCAAATATTATCGGGTCGCTCACGACCAAGGTTGTATTTTTTTCTTCAGTAACACAGTTTTGTCTATGAGTACGACGATACCTTCTCTGTGTGGAAACGAGGCAATTCTTTCCATTTTCTATGAGGCGATGTCTCTGCAATGCTGGTACCATCGGCTGTTTTAAAATCCAGTAGTTACAAATATACAAAATCTGGGTTAGGGAGAGATGCGATCTAGCAAAAATAGTGCTACGAAATATTAAAATTATCAGCTTACCTTTCTTAATATTACCTCATCTCAAGCAAATTGCACAATGATGGACATATCCTTTGCATGCAGTTGTCCAATGTTTGTATGGGATTTTTTGGGAGTTGTTGATATATATATCCTCGTCTTTGAGTAGTTCTTCAGCTTTCTTGTTGTATTCTTCTCTATCCATGACTACTGTTGTTCTTCCTTTGTCGGCTGGTAGAACGACGATGTCCTTGCTATTTTTCAGCTTTTTTGAGGGCCTTTAGTTCTTGAGAGTTGAGTTGTGTGTGTGTTGTTTTCTGTGTTTGACTATTGGTACAATTGTTTGGCGTATCTCTTCCTGTGTTTCCTCGTTCAAGTTTGATGATTTGAGTAATGATTCAAGGGAAGCGAAGAAATCAGTTTTTGAAGCATCTCCGGTGTTGTAGTTTAATCCTTTTTGTAGTAGTTGTTGTTCCATTTTTGATAGTGGTTGTTTCGATACGTCGACTACGCAGTCTATAGGTGTATTGTCTGGTTGTTGTTTTCTATTCTTGGCTAGCTTGGTTTCGAGGACTCTTTGTCTTTGTGCTCTGTGTTTTCTATTTGACAATATAATTGCGGTGATCAGCGTTGACAGGTGTTCCTCGTTGAGGGTTTTCTCTAGTTTTGCTTTTTGAACATCTGTTATTTGTTGGTCTGATAGTGTGTGCCTGTAATCATTAATTTGACCATTCGTCTTCTACATTGTTCGGCCAATTTCCATCCCATTGAATAGTTGACTGGTGGTTTGTATCTTACACAGGTCGATAGGATTTGATGACGAAGGCAGTCATGGAGAAAGAATAATTATTCTCTGGTGGATCCTTGCCTTTTGGCGAAAGGCAACGATGGACATATCCATCATCAATCGACCTGCTAAAACTTTTTAAACTCATGGCACTACCACATGAACAAATTCTTTCCTTCCTAAGTAACCCCAAATCCAGGCAATATTGCAAAACCTTATCCTCATCGAACTGCAAGCGTAACTTCATTTTTTTTTCCTTCACGTTCCCCAGTGGAACATAGGGCATCAAGCTAGTGGCTTGAAGTTTCTGTAGCAGTGTTTACTTTTACAGGATGGGGTTGCTAGCCTCATGCCAAACCTTTCCCCTTTACCAGCATTATTTGTGGCTTAGCGAGGTAAAGGAGTGCGGCGTTGGCCGGGGATCGAACCCCAGACCATGTGAATGGTCAGTGAGCGTCCTAACCGCTGTGCCACCGACGCACTTCATTAGAGCAGGCATTTCATACGAATCAAGCGTTATACAACCTTGAAATCATGTGCATGAACCTTCCTCATTGGACCATACTCGAAGTCATTCACTGTTTGGTAGTTAGTGGTGCTTAAAGTTTAACTTGGCTAGAAGTACTATTGTGGTGAGAGTAGCAGGACATAAATGGGCGTTCATCCGGCGAAACAAACCAATACTTCGGAATAAAAAAAAATGACAGTGACAAAACGGCTTGTAACATAAGAGTAGTGAAGAAAGTTACACGCATATTACACATACACACAGTGCTCACCTTCAAAATCATCATCACCAATGCCAGGGGTAAGAAAAAGATTCACATCTCCAATCATTGCATAAACTTCAGGATTTTCATCGTCTACAAATTCATAAAGACTCTGCTGATGTGATTTGATTTGGTTACTTTTCAATGACCAAAATTCTTCCAGAAGTTGTTTACTAAGCAGGATAAATGTTAATCGATCATCAGAGTTACACCATTGTTTTTGTGCTTCAAATTCCTAATTGGTTTTTCGACAAGAAAAATAAAATCCCCCATATAAACAGAGAAAAAATGTGTGAAAAGAAATCATTACAAATGCGATTGTGTGTGTGTGTATTGTCTTACTGACTGGCTGAGTTTCAACAATCTTGAGCCATATCATCCATTGTCCCAGACTGTCTATTATAGCCAATGATTTTCTTGATTGCGGTAGATTGAATAATGCGATAGACAGCGGGGGTTGGGCACCGAGGAAACAGACATAAAATGGATCCTCACAAAAAACTTGGAGGATCTGCACTTCGCCGATGTCATATATATGTCTGTCTGTCTGGATTCAACATAGAACTTGGCACCGAAGTGCACCAGTTCCAGTTGCCACGTTCCAAATAGCCCACAGAGGTAGACAAGAAGATGAGTGAAGAGAATCAATACAGTCTGACAAGTATAAGAGTGAAACAGAGTGAGTTATGGTAGAAAGGAATATGAAAGATTACAGAGACTGAATACATCTGCGCTGGCCATTGACAACGATTTTGAGCCCTGTCACCTATTGTCTCCAGCCATTGATTCCTAGAGTCAGTCCGAGGGCCCCAACCCGGAAGTCTGAATCTCCCTACCTGACTCAGTTTAACTGTCAAGGATTTCATGGATTGATGAGGCCATGTTTTTGTTTGGCCACCACTGGCCCTTTTCCAACCTGAACCTATATCAGATAGTAATGCCCGTCGACGGTGGGGAGGCGATGGTTAGGCATGCGCAGCACGTAACCTAGCCATCTCAGTCTGTGTAACTTTATAGCCTCGTCGATTGATTTTCCCTCTTTGCCCAACACTCTACGCCTAACGTCAACATTACTTACCTTATTAAACCACCTAACATGAGACAGGGATCGCAGACATCTATGATCGAAAGCAGTCAACCTTTTCATCTCTTCAACTCGTATTGGCCATGTTTCAGAGCCATAGAGAAGGACGGAGCGAACTGCTGAGCAGTACACACGTCCCTTGGTGTCATACATATATATGATTTCCCACAAACTGGAAGATATTTATGAGTGAAAAGCGACAAATTGGCAGAAGAAGCACCAAAGATAGGCCTTCAGGTGAACATAAAGAAAACAGAGGTGATGAAGATTCCTGGACTACAGCAACAGCAACAACAGGCAACAACCAACAACCTCCTTTACCTACCTACCCTACCTTGGAAGCATCGTTCCAAACACAGGAGGACGGAACTGACGAGGATATCACAGCGAGGATCAGGAAAGCAAGACAAGCCTTCATTACTCTCAGGTCTGTGTGGAGGTCAACAGAACTCCTCAGCATCAAAAATAACATCCAGATTTTCAACTCCAATGTGAAGTCAGTACTACTATACGGATCAGAGACTTGGTGCGTCACAAAGAGCACCACAAACAAGCTACAAACCTTCATCAACAGCCAGCTGTCTTCGCTCAATACTACTTGAGATCAGATGGCCGGCCAGAAAAGATCAGTTACAGGGATCTCTGGCAATGGCCGGACCAACCCAACAGGAGGCAATTGTGCAACAAATAAGCAGGAACAAATGGAGGTGGATTGGCTGGCCTTACTCTGAGGAAACCATCAAGTGACATCACTAGACAAGCCGTCGTTCGAGTGGAACCCGAAAGGGAAGCGGAGATTTGATCATTCAAGTGTGGCTTGGATGAGGTTCTGTGAAAAGGAGATAAGAGCATCTGGGCAGACGTGGAGCCAGGTGAAAGCGTTAGCAGAGAACCGAACGCAACGGAGACGTTTGGTTGAAGCCCTATGTTCCTCTAGGAATTAAAGGGAATAATAACACCCATTATATCAAGCCGATGGTTCTTGGTGTCGCCACGATCTCAGCCAGAGGTATCACTTATCGTTCTAGGCTCTCGACTTTAGACCGTCACGCCACGGGCTCGAATCCCGCTCCACTGACAGAGGTTTGAGCAGTCAGGTCATATCACTAGATCTCACAGAATAGGTGCAGCTTATAGCCAACTGCATAGAATAGCATCTGGTTTGTTCAACCCTAATCAAGTGTTCTACACTTCTCCTCGTGTGTGGCTGGTTGAAACCAGCAGTCAAGAAATTCATGGATTGGTACCAGATTTTAATTTGACCAGCTTTATATATTTTCCAACATAGTAGTATGCCATTTCATGCCAGTTTGTTTATTAGATGTATCACACAAAGAAAAGTATTATTACCTACTGGATGACAAGGTTTCGAACACAATCTATTATTGTTCATAATCACTTCACCAATTATAATCACACGACTTCGAGACGTGAGTTTTATAGTTTTCTTTCTTCTTGTCTTTGGGGTTGTAGAACTTTCCAGTTGTCTAACTGGACAGGTGCTGAATCATTCCTGTTACACGTATGTTCATTCAGTTGATTCGATAAACAAAGCTTCCTTTGTTGTTATCAATCTCTCCCTCCACCCAGCTACTACATTAGATTTTAAAACTGTCATCCTATCCCATTCTATTGTGTGGTTGTGCGTAACTGTGCTGAATTATTCTCTATATTTCTTATCTTATTTGAGTCAACTAATCTAGATTTTGCTGCTAGGTTTTTATGTTCTGCTAGTCTGACTGCCCCTGTTCTACTAGTTTGACTTATGTATTTGGCCTGACAATCATTGCAGACAGGGTATTAGATAAACTAAATTGTTTTGTTTTAAAGGCTCCACAGGACTAATCCTTTAACCAACAAAGCTTGTTTTTAATTGAGTTTGTGGTTGTTTTGAATACCAGCCACTTTTATTCCTGCCTTGTTAAGAATTCTGCGTAAGGTTTCCGAGGTTACTTCTTTGCATGGAATTACTACTGATGATTTAGATTCCTCATTGTTGGTGTTGTCTTGGGCATGTTTGACATGCACTTCGTCATTAATATTACTATTATTATGGTTATTATTATTATTAATATTATCATTATAAGAGATGCCTTGAAACTTAATAATTACCCTGATAAACTAGTTAGAAAGTAGGTAGCAAAATGCAGAAATAAAATAAATAATGACAGTAGTGTTAGTGATAATAATAATAATAGAAATATTAATGACGACATACATATCAAACATGCGCAAGACAACACCAACAATGAGGAATCTAAATTATCAGTAGTATTTCCATACAAGGAGGGAACCTCGGAAACCTTACGCAGAATTCTTAACAAGGCGGGCAGGAATAAAAGTGGCTCGCATTCAAACCCCCGACAAACACTTGTCCCAGATATCTGGAAAATTTTACTGCCCGTACGACGACAAATAGGAGAGAACAAAGAAAACCATAAAAAACTCAAGTTTTGAAGTCGTGTGATTGTAATTAATATGGTTATATAGAATAAGAGATTGTGTTCGGAACCTTGTCAACCAGTAAATAATACTGTTTCACTGTGTGATACATTTATAATAAACAAATTGATATGGAATTATTTACTACCACAGTGCCCAAGTTTTACAGATGTATTAGTAGTAGTATGTCGGTATATGTGTACTCTGGGTCCTAGAATACATTGAACTATGCATATCCTCAGGACAATGAGGTTTCATCACTAATTTCATCAAAATGACTTTCTTCGATAAAAAGAGAAAATGAAGAAGACAAGTCTAATAGGCACAACCTAAAATAACTTAGCTATTAAGGAGTGAACGTTGTACGTTTAGTTGGTTTTTGTTGTGACTTGACTGAATTGACTAGCAATCAAGTTTTGTAATGTGGTTCATCACACATTGATATCAGTTTGAAAACCGCTGAAAATTAAGGAGTACTTGACTGGTACGTCATATTAGTTTGGCACCATTCAGCAGTACGCACCCAATGAGGTTCGGACCTTCCACTTACAAAACGAGCCAGTGGGACCCAACTCAATGGCGAGACCGTAAATTTCGACTTCTACCAAATTGGAATTTTAGTGCAATTGACACCAACCAAAGTCATGCGCGATAAGCATTTGTTCTTTCGTCCAACCTAATGGACACCACAGATTACGCCGTCTCTGGCGGAGACGTCATATCCGGCTGGATATCGACCAAAGGGCGGGTGTACTGCTCATCAGTCCGATCCGTCCTTCTTTATGACTGTGAGACCTGGTCATTGACAGTAGAGGATATGAAAAGGATAGCTGTCTTTGATCATATGTGCCTGTGTTCTATCTCTCGTTTGAAGTGGTATAATAGGGTAAACAAATATTGAAGTAAGGCGTCGAGTGTTATGTAAGGAGGGAGGGGATATCAATCGACGAGAATGTTAAGCTACATCGACTGAAATGGTTAGGACATGCGTTACGCATGCATGTCTAGCCATCGATCGCCTTCCTCAACAACGGACAATGTCAGCTGACTTAGGGTAAGGCTGGAAAATAGCCAGCGGTGGTCACACCAAAACATGACACCAATCAATGAAATCCACAACAGTTAGTTTAAGACAGTCACGTAGGGAGGTGTAGACTTCCTGACTGGTTGGCGTCCCTGGGACAGTAGAAACCAATGGCTGGAGACAATCGGTGATATGCCTCAAAATCCTCATTCTCAATGACTAGCGCAGGTGCATCCAATGAAACCATATTGTTCTTCGTTATTACTATTCCTTGTGTCTCATACTCCTATCTACTGTCTCTATTATGAATTTCTTCTGCTCTCTTCTCTTCCTTTGTGTGCTACAAGGATGGAGTGTAGTGACTCGAAATGCTGCACATTTGTGCAAAGTTCTATATCGAAAACAGACAGACAGACAGAATGGACACCACTGATCAAGATTTCTCACTAGAACTCCAGTCAGACAACTTCGCCTTATAGCTAGTCACTAATCCGAGCATCAGATTAATTTTCAAAAGTTAGTGTCTATTGAATGGTTGAAGGTTGCGGGCAGGAAGTCCTGAACCTACACTCATGATATCAGTTACTTTCTCTAGTGCCTAATTAATGTCTCCATTGCAACCCTACAGAAGGTGAATCTTGAACTCGAACACCTCTGACTACAACACCACTGTGTTACATGGATT